ATTTAGAAGTGTAATCAAATTTGATTGAATTGTCATCTTGTAGCATTTTGAAAAAGTTACTTTGTTGGTTCCGTTGTAGAAATGAGCAGTAACATTCTGTTCCCATTGTTTTAATGACTTAAATACAGCTAATAAAGCCTTGCTGTGATCAAGTTAATAGGTTTTGAATGGAATGATGAACAGAAAACATTTTTGCTGTGATTTTCTGTGACGTTTCCCAAACTCCAGCTTTATTTATTGAGATTGAAGTTTACAATGAAGAATGTCTGAGCTGGTGTTCATAGGTTTCCAGTCTTTTGTAGTCATGCTTTTCTTTAGGTTAGAGTTTAATTGTTTCACTCTGAGGTAAATAATTACAGCGAGGGACGCCATCATTTGGCACATCATTTAAATAACAGTCAATATTTTGCATAACCTCCTCTTTTATTTCAAAGATTTCATTAACCTTCCGTAAAACTTGACCCAGACGGGGATTTTTTTTCATCCTTGTTTGTTTTCCCTGTGTAATGAACACAACATCCTTTCTGAACTATTCTCAGTTATCTAAGATCATCTTAAGCTTGTACGAAAGCTTTACAGTTTTATCTGTAACCAGTGGATGATTTTTATTTTTATCCTGGTCTTGGTGACTGACGGAGTTCGGTACCTCACCCTCTCATCTGTCATGACTCATTATAACAACTTCAGTTCCAGACTGACTGGACTAAAATAGCACATTCATAGAAACCATTTAAAAGGAGGAGGAAAACCTTGTTTGGTGCTTCAGGAACAAAATATCTGTGGGAGCTCAGAACATGTCCAGTTTAGGACATGCAGTCGTTTCACCTCAGGTTGTTTTTGAATATGCTGGATTTATTCATGTTCTCCCTAACAGCAAAACATCATTAAAAGCTAAGCACTATAGAGACTGCACGGCAGAAAATACTTTCTTTACCTTATTATTTACACTTTGTGTGGAATATTTTTGATGACTGTGATGCTACAGTATAAGATTAGGTTTGAATGTTTTAAATTGAACACATAATCAGATGTTTACATTTTAAATGTTCTATTCTATCTTTTATTAGCTATTATTATGGATATTATTACAAAAATATTGATCTGTTAGCATTTCTATAAAATCGAGCACTTTTTTCAAGTACCAACAATTTTGTATAGGGATACAAAAGGGTTTGTTTGCAGGTGCAAAATAAAAGAAGGAAGAGATAAAATGGAAACAGGCCTAAATACATTCAATATAGTTTTACAATTTATAAACTTGAATTCTTTTTCAGACTTTAAATTTAATATAGAGATGCACTTATCTGATATTAATATCTTTATCTGTCTGAATATCGAAAAAAATTCTAGATTGGGTGTTTGCGACTGATCAAATCCGTCGGGACAGATCTGTTCAGTATATTTCTATGCTTTCTGCTCTGAGCGATGTCATAGTTTATTTTACATTATCTTTAGGGTTCCTAATTGCATTTTATGAGCCATATGAAAGGCTTAATGCTGTTTATTGTTACATGTTTGATCAAGGTTGTGAATCTACTTTTTTGCCAAATGAAAGTTGTGGTTTTTTTATATATGTATATGTATATATTTGACCGAGCTTGTGAAGCCAGTGGTGCATTTAATAGTGGCGTGCTGGTGAGGCAGTATCAAATAAATTTGTAATTCAGTACATTCATGTCTCTGTTTAAGAAAAGAACATTTTAAGTTGTAGAAAGTGTTGACTACATTTTAGATTTTATACAGAATCAGATAAACTTGGTTCTCCTAAAATAAAGTGTATTAATTGAGGTCAATCATTAAAAATAAGGATTTCTTGCTCAAACAAGACACATCTTTTTCCTCTAACAGTGTGGCCATGATATTATGAGTCATATTGATTAACTTGTCATTTTTCTTTTATTTACAAGCTGCTTCTTTAACTATCTTTGTTTAGTCTCAGTGAGACTGCACTGCAAAAACACAAATATTACCAGGTGTTTTTCTTTAGTTTAATGTGCACTTGAAATGAGACTAAACTAATTTCATCAAGATATAGGAGCCTGTTTTAAGTGAAGCACTTTGTTGCTGAAAATGTGCTATAAAATTACCTTTACCTTTAATAAATGTTTAATATAGATTTAAAAAAAAAAAAAAAACACTAGTCCAGTTTGCAGATTATTTTTCTTACAAAATGGGAAAAATGTCTTGTTTGTGAAATTGGCAGATTATTTCACTAATAATATTGAGAAATTATTTACTTAAAACACACTCCTACATCTTGCTGAAAGTGTGCTCAAGTGTACTCAAAAATACTTTGCAGAATTTTGTGTTTTTGCAGTGTGAGCTGCATAAACACCCAGACACAAACGCCCAATTGTGCACGTAACCCCACTGCCCGCCATTTCTGTCTGTTTCCACACACATGGCATTCAGCTTCCTGCTGCAGCCAGGCGGAGCCGTCCTTATCGGGCGGCCATATCTCTTATCTGGGATCCAGAGGGACTGAATCACAACTTCCTCAGAGACAAAGTTGTTGAAGAGGCTTGGTAGATATCATCGCTTACGTAAATGTGGAGCAGAGAGAGTGTTAAGGTTTTTCACCAAACTGAGGAGAAATGGCTATTGTTGTTTCTGACGGTCTGGAATGTTGTGTTTGTCACTAAATGGGTCAGACATGGATTAGGATTATTCCTAAATCCAGAAACTTGCTCCTCATTACCTGCTTGGTTCTCAGGGAATATTTGTGTCCTTTTTTAATCCATTGTTTGTTAATTATTTCACTGAAATGAGTTTCTGCCTACAGAGACCTGTTTTATTATTCAAAGTTGTTTCTGTCTTAGGGCTTAAATTCTAATAAATCACGGGAGACTCGTCTGGCTGCTCTGATGTTGTGGCTAAGACCTGGTTAGCCAACTCGCGGTTATTAAATGGGTTGATTTAATTAAAATTTGAACAGTATAATTATAAGTCTTTAAATCTTCAGGGATAAACGGACTTGGGACAAAGTGTTCAAAAGTTTAATTTGATAACCTAGAAAATGTGGAGGTAAATAGAAGATCATCTCACAGGTTTTGTGCAGTTTGCACAGAAATCAATCACTTCCAAAGTCCTTGCTTGACATTAAAACAGCACAGCTTTATAATACAATGCAATGTAATGTTTGATGACAAGTATAAATTTGGAAAATATAATGTACAGCTTAAACCAGATACTTAAAGATAATTAAAAGACAAGCATTTGTTTTTCTCACTGACTTTTAAATGACACCAAACTTCTTTAGCTTTAGAGTCGTCATGCTAAGTGCCATGACGATGGCTTTTAGCATTGTCATTGCTAAATGCCAAAAGTGAGAAATTTTTTTAGACATGTAAATTTTTCAAATTCAGAAGTTTGTGGCAATGCTATGTTTTGTTTAACCTTATGCTGATTTGTTTGGATATTGTTTCAATGTAATAAATATTTACTATTCCTGATGGCTCAATTGACTTTTGATCTGTGTAATTGAAATAATAATTATATTTTATATGTTAGTGTTAGTGAAATTGTTTCACTAAACAACTGAAATATTGTAAGATTCATTACTTCTGTAATGAATCTTTCAAGGGGTGAAGCAATTAATCAAAATAAATAATTGTATTGTATGAATCGATTATTGAAAAATTTGTCAAAATTCCAATGGATCATTTTTGTAGCCTGTTATGAGCCTGACATTACGATAAATGGCTCACAGAAGGCATGATAGAAGCCATTTTTAAAAGTATTTTCTGTTTTTTGCTATTTCTGTTTTTGAAAATAAAAAAAGGTTAACAAAAAATAAATAAATAATAATAATAATAATAAAATAAAAAAAATTATTAAAAAGGGATCTGATATTTGAAAAATTTGAGATTTTATCTTTAAGTCATATTGCCCAGCCAAACTCAAGAGTTTGAGGAACTCTTCAGTAACAGAAAATGCTGGTTTTCTCTGCTAAGGACTGATATCTGCTACATTTCATGCTGTCTGAATATGAAAAACAAGAACTGCCCTCGGCTTTTTCCTCTCTTTGAACAGCAGGTTTAATATTTCAGGGAGAGCAACAAATAGGTTAAAAGGCCTGGAAAAAACTTTCTGAGCGTTTAAAGCTAACAGGGAATGTCTTTTCTGTTTAAACTTTTCTGTTTTTCAGGTGTCGACCTTTTTATCCTCTGTCGTCATTAGAAGATGATTGTTTTGTGTGAAGAAAAAAAAATAGAATTGGTTTTGGTTGTTCTGTTCATTCAAAAAGCAGCTAACTTTGAATCAACGTATTTACAATGTGTTCACAAAATAATAAAACAGATTTTATTATTTCATATTAAATGTAGTTTTGTGAATAAGGAAGAAAGACTAATTTTCAGCTTTTAACTAAAACTGACATAAATATTAATGAAAAAGTGAAATATTTAAACTGTTAGTTTACTAAACTCATCATCATTAGAATAATAAATAGTAAAGATTTTGCTTCACATGATTCAAATTCTGCAATAAATAAAATCTATTACCCACCTTTTGCTTTTTAATTGTTAATTGGTTAATGCACAAATTACTCAAGTAATCTACAAATGATCAATGATTCATAAAAGATTGCTGTTATTACATTTTAGGCAACAAAATCTTTATTTTTCTAATTTAAAAAGGTAATTTAATTATTCCTTTCAATGTATTTATAATATTGTATAAAAAGGCTTAACAGTTAAGTGAAAAATCTACACTCTGCCAGTTTTTTTCCCAAATAACTAATTAATCATCCTAATAATTGATAGACTAACCCATTTATTAAAATAATCTTTGCAGCCCTAATAACCACATAATCATAGTAAGGTAAAGAGGAGACTCTGTTTTACCTCTCATCAGGTATCACAGTGTCTTCTTTTAGGTGTAGATAAATATTAATTTACTTTGTCTCTGTTCTAAATTACAACAACATCCCCTCCAGCAGACTGACTGAGAGCAAATATTTAGTTTAGCCTCTAATTAAACTATTTGCTTTGTGTTTGCAGAGATTGAAGCCAAGGAGGCCTGTGATTGGCTGCGAGCCGCTGGCTTCCCTCAGTATGTTCAGTTATTTAAAGGTAAATCTGGACCTGTGCCTTAATATGAGGGTGATGTTCAGTTTTCCACTCAGATGAGCTTTTGTTGTTTGTATGTCAGACTGCAGATTCCCCATTGATACTGAGGCTGCGAGAGAGGATCACAGCTTCCTGGATAAAGATTCTCTCGATTCACTATGCAGGTAAAAAAAAATCATCCATTGATTTTATAAGAATTCCTGTTTTTATTGGTTTGACAGTTTAAGATTCACACCAGTCATTTTGTCTGTCGTTGGCAACAACTTCAGACTGAATACTTTGTGCATTCAGTCCGTAGCTATTATTCATCCAGTTGGCTGTTATTCTTCTGTTGCTTGCAGGCGGCTGATGACCTTAAATAAGTGCATGGAAATCAAGCTGGAACTTTGGAGATCCAAACACGGGGTCAGTGTTGGAAGCAAAACAGAAACTTAGAGTAAGAAAGCAGCTAAAATGTGTTTTGGATGCAAAGAATGAACCGTCTGTCTCTCTATAGGGAGAAGACTGGGAAGAGGAGGACTATTGCGCTATCAGCCAGAACTGGACCTACGATAAGAGAACCCACCAGTGGCGGCGCATTAACTCCTCCAAGGAGATGCCAGATGACCATCAGGACGTCTGCTCTGTCAACAGCTCCAGCAGCACAGACAGCGAGCTCCACGACGCTCACGGGAAACTGGTCTCAACGAGCCAGAGCTCCACTGCCAACAGAACACAGTTGCTGGACACGTCCTACAGCGGCCCTCCATCCCCCAATGGAGGGTCGTCCACTATAAGTCTGGAAGCAGAGGTGTGCTTCAGAGAAAAACCACCGAGGAAGAAGTGCACCACTCTGCTGAGGAAGATGGAGAAGCTGAGGCTGAGGGGGGCAGCAGGCGGCCATTTTGGGACCCGCCGTGACGTCAGTGGGCCAGTTCTGGACCGACACAGAGAGAAGATTTACAGGCAGCTCTGCACGTCCAAGTGAGACAATGATTTCTGAAGGCAACCTGAAATGGAGTCAGAACTGTTGCTGAAAGACGTGTCCTTCCTCTCTGTCTCCAGTCTGCAGGTTCAGCCCAGCAGCCACTCATCTTCATCGCCCTCATCTTCTCACACAATGAGCAGCGGGAGCAGCAGCACCAGCCAATCAGAAAACAGCAGCACCGTCAGCACGCCCAGCCCCGTCACCCGGGTCAGAGCCAATTGCAAACGCTCCATCAGTGGGGTCGAGATTCAAAGTGACCGGAACCAGATGGATACCGAGGTCAGATCCATTATGGTTTTATTTTTTTATTAAAATGTCTAGGACCACCTACAGCCAACAGGATGTTTTCTGTTATTTTATTAATAATAATAAATTATTTATTCATTTGCATTGCCTTTGAGAGTCACAGTTCTGGAAACTTTGTTGACATCTGGATGTCAACAAGATGGATGTCATACTGACTTCCCCCATGTGAGGAATCGTACCATTGGAGTACTCAATAGTTGAGTACTCCAAATACCTCTGTGCAATGGTAGGATAAATATCAGTGTTATTTACTGTAGTATTTACTGCTCATCTAGCAAAATTAGCTTAGCTAAAAAAAAGTTTTATCTGCAAGCTAAAACTACCTGTAGCCTCTGCCAGAACTTTACTTGCGTGGAGAGTTTTTAGGTTCGAAACACTGATCGTATGCATCCATGAATTTCAGATTGATCAAAAGTGTCAGTATACTGTCTTTTTGTTGGCTAATCTATGCTTTGCGTTGCGCCTGCCTATCAAAAGGGCGGTTTAGTGGTGCAGATCCCTCCTGGTTGAGAATTGTGGGAACTGCTGTATGTCTGAACTGTATGTCAAAGGAATTTTACATCTAAAACACAATTCTTTAAAACAACAATTCTTTAAAACAACCATAATTTCCTGTTAAGAATTAAACATGGCACCAGGAGAGTCATTTGATTCACAACCTTTTTAATTCTCTTTTGCTCCCTCTCAGGTCTTCAAGAACCAGGTCAACAACAATAACAGCAGCCATGACAGAATGATCTTCCAGGTCCCCCATGGACACAAACCAGGGACTTTCCCCACCTCCCTCGCCCACAAACATATCCTCTCCCCAATCATCGACAGCAACTGTGTCAACTGGCGGACCGGCAGTTTCCATGGCTACAGGGCTAGGCACGGGGGCAGACAGGGCGCATCGTCTCTAGTTGGTGGAGACCAAAGTCCAGCGTCTTCGTCCACGTCCTCCGGACGTACCGGTGCACTAGATCACCGGCTCAGTGTCTATGACAACGTGCCTCATAACGCACAGCTGTCTGAGGGGGAAGGTGGTGGAAGTGGAAGTGATGCGGAGAGAATCAGTGAGGAGTCAGAGGTGGGTCTCAGAGTTTCAAAAAGTTGAAATTCAACAAATAATTGTGGCTAACTTAGAATAATGAGACATTTTGAAGGATTTTGTGAGCTATGATGGAATAGTCTAAGGGTGTTTTCAGCGCTTCGCACATCCAGTTTACATTCAAAGTCTATGTGGAGGCGCATTTCGCATCGAGCGTGGCGTGATTCAACCCCCCTCCACATAGACTGTGAATGTAAGCCAGATGTGCGAAACGCTGGGTAGAGCAAAATGTCAAGCATCTGCATTCAAAGTGCACATGCATTGAACTTGAAGCATTTTTGCCATGCGTCAAAAATAAAGCATGTCATTCAATTTTTGATGGGTGAATGCACCATTAGAACAAAAAATCTGCTGAGTCATGAAAGAACGACAGACTCTGGAATCCCAGATTCATTGGTTGCTAGGGCAGAGGCAGAGAACGCACAGAACAAGTACAAATGATTTTTGCATGTTTTCCTTCTTACATGAATGGAAACCAGTTTGCTTTTCCTTTTGGAGTCAATGTTCTCAGCAATAAAAACAGGTTTCAGGTCAGTCTTCATGTGATAACACTTGCAGTGCTTCGTCAAGTTTTAATACAGCACTTAAAAGCGGATTGGCTGCACATAAGTCGATTTTAATTTAAAACTTGAAATTTTGGGACCTGGGACCCCACCTTGAGCACCCTTGAATTAAAATGAGGGAGAACTATTTTCCGAAACAATTACCAGCCGCCAGATTGAGCTGTACAAATCAATTCTGATGTGTTGCTACCAAAAGCTAAGTTGTGCAGTTACAGTAAGGTTGCTGATATTTAACATGTTATGGTGGTGTTAAACTCGTTTACTTTTGACAATAAAATATATTCAGAGCAACATGTCCAACAACAAGCAACAGATTTGAGTAATTTTCTTAGAAAAAACTTAAGTATTATTTAAAAAAAAAAAAAACCTTATTATATTATTTCCCCTTTCCCATTTCTAATAACAAGGTCTTTCAGTTTAGGTGAGTTATTTTTGTACAAACACATATTTGACCTTGTTGAACCATATAATGGCATACCAACAAACTAATTACCCAAAGAACTCTGTTACGTCTTTGTCAAGAACTTTAAAAGCAGAGCTTCCTCTCAGTTGGAGAACTGGGGTAAATTTTCCGTGCAGCTGATAAATATGAGATCCACTCTCCATCCGGATCTGGAACGAATGAAGATACTTTTCCACCCTTTGGCTCTCCTGCTGCGTTTTTTAAAGAAACCCTTTAAATGAAACTCTACACTAACTGCAGTAATTCAATCATGGATATTGACTCAGCTAAATTTGACTCCTTAAGGAGTTTGGAGCTTTTTTTTTCCTGACAACTTTCATCAATCTCTTCAAATTGGTTTCTGAATTATGAAAAAGGCCGTTTGGAAGGATGCTTGATAAAAATGTGGCAGCAATGGGAGGAGAGAACAGTTATGAAATATTACTGAGGTTATCAGGATGTTCACTGATAGAAAATAATTCAAACCTGCTTTTTCTCACAGGTGAGTCCACTGCTGGCAGATGAAGATGTTTTCTCCGCTCTTGACGGCGTTCTGGAGCGAATCAGCAACCTCCAACAGCTTGTCGTCTCCTGGTCGGAAAACATCTCGGAGGACGATTGTCAGAGAGGTTCCTCCTCTTCCTCACGTGACTCACCAGCCCACAGATCCCCCTGCCCCGCCTCCCCTAGCCACATCCACCTGGAGGTGCAGCATCCAGAGGAGGAAGAAGAAGAGGAAGAGGAGTGCTTTGACAAAGTAACTGATGTGTCAGAGATGAGTGGATCACCACCACCCAAGAGGAGGTGAGTTTAATCTGAAAATATCCATCTGGATGTACTGAAAAATTACTTCCAGGACACTTTAGTATCTATACACTCATAATTAATTTGTTATTCAAATAATTGTCAACTCATTTAGTAATTGATTAATCGTTAACTGGAGTACACAGACGAACTTATTGGCTTCATTAATTTTTCAATTAATTCTTTAACAATTGAAAAATTTATGAGATTCTTCAAATCTCATTAATTTAGATTTGAAATCTAAATTAATTTAGATTTCAAATCTAAATTAATGAGTCAATGCAGCAATGAAGCCAAAATTGTACATGGCTAAATGCAGGTTAAATGATCTTCAGTACAAACATACTGTCAGTCCTGGTCCTTTCCCTTCTTTGTTCGTCTCAAGTCCAGTTGATTGACTTCACACTCAGGTTCTCTGTTTTTATTATGACAAGAGAAAATCAAGTGTATGGTTAACATCAGTGCAGCTTCTGGCCCTTTGCATTATAAAAGACAATAAATGAACCCAAACAAACTGCAGAGCAGTGGTTCCTAATGAACAGTTATTGGTTGCTATGGTGCCTTTTTGGTCTGAGATACATGCTGTGTGTCCCACAGGGTGAGCCGGTCCAGGCAGCGGAACCGTGCCTACCTGACCTCCGGTCTGGAGATCCAGTCCGCTTCCCAGATCCTCCGGCTCCAGAAGCTGTCTCTGCTCAAACTCACTGCACTGATGGACAAATATTCCCCATCCAGCAAGCAGGGATGGAGCTGGTAAGGCCCGATAAGGTGGGGTGGGGGATTTCATGCATGGAAAAACAAATGGGTAGGGGGGTGGAGTTGGCAGGTTAGTGTTTGAGACCCACAGCTGTGTGGAGAAACTTCTTCAAGCAAACAACTGTCTGAAGAAGGGCAGGTGGGCGGGTGGAGGGTAAATATTTCAGGCAGACAGACATTCATTATTCATAACTCAGGTGCTGGGGTTGGAAAAAACCCAGAACATCAAGAAGAAGAAGAAACTGCTTTCCATGTGCCGGAGCTGGAGCTGTTCTGATTCATGAAATTTTTCAAGTGGCAGCTGTGAGAAATGTTTTATTTCACACCTGGCAGGTGGAGCTGATTGAAATTCTGAAGCAAGGGCAACTCAGGGGAGAGAAAAATATCGACAAGAGTCAAACAAATAACAAAAAGTTCAAAGAGGAACACAACCAGTACAGGAACCAATTTTAGTGTTGAAGAACAAACTTGGAGATGTCGCTCTGTCCAACTTTACACACTTAGCTGAAGTGAAAGGGGCAGTATTATATGTTTTCCAGTCACATGGTGCCATTTTATAGCATTATCAAGTAAATTATTTTACCATCAGTTTTTTTTTTTTTTTTTTTTTTTTTTTTTTTTACAAATGCTGTATATAGCAAATATGACTTAAAATAAATGTATTTCCTGATGTAATGTCTTAAAATGGAGCCTTTGTCTTTCTTTGTGACACTCCACCTTCAGAAAGTCATCACAACATGGCTCCTCTTTTAAGCCTTTAACAATGTTTTACGCTACTGTGAAGTAGCGCCTACAATGAGCTCAGCAGATGTGCTGTTCCATCGGGTCTTTGCTAATTATTGCTGGCTAGTCTGAAGGAGCTAGTCTGCTGCTCCGAAAAAAGGAGCTGCGTCTTGAAGAGGAGTGGGAAGGAAATAGGTCCTCCTAGGAGTTTTGCCCAGCTGAATGGTTGCCATGGAGATTACAGGATTTCTCAAACATGCACAAAAGAATCAATGCAACACTACATGTGCAATATGTTTTTGATGAGGGAATAACATTACATCATGATGTAACGCTCAAAATTAATCAATTTTGCATAATACTGCCCCTTTAAAGCTGTGTAGTATTCGCACATTATTGTGTGGATGCTGCTGTTGTATGAAACAGCAGTACTGAATTACTCTCTGCCCAGCGGTGTTCTGTATTTTACTGTTATGTTGTCAGAGTGAAATGTGGGTGATGTTTTGCCCACATCACCCACATTGATGTGGGTGATGTGATTTGCTGTCCGTCCGTCCATCAGTTAGTCTTGCTTTGACAGCACCTGCACCAATGCTAGAGAAGTAAAAACTTTACTCAACTTTCCTTTCCACAGTGGGTTCCACTCACAAATCCATGCAAAAGGCCCTTATCCTCATGCTGCGCTACACGGCATGTGGCTCAAAGCGAATGAAAAGCAGGACGGTCGAAGCCTGATAGGCTTTGTGTTGCTCTTTTCCTCAAACTGCTGCTGCTTTCACTCCACAACTTTATGGTTTCTATATTTTTTACCATCTCATTGTTTCACATTTGCAATCCAGACCTTTCTCACGTTCAAGTCTAGAAACCTAACTTGAGTTTTGAGTCACGACGTGTTACTTTTGGAGAACTTTAGCTGTCAGACATGATATGTTTAAGGGATTTCTTGCCTGTACAGATCCTTCAGGAATCAATCTAGTAAGTGAGTGAAACTGAACTGGGCTCCACAAATGTGTTAAATGACATTTTGAGTGATGATTTTTCACATGATTCCAGGTGGATTTTGATCTTTTTTATCCTCTTTGTAAAACCATAAAACCATAATTTGAAAACTGCTCTCTGTATTTAAAATTGTACATTTAAGTATGTCAAAAAGCCAAAAGTAATATTTTGCAGTGCTGCATAATGTCAAGTCAGGAGTCTTCCCTACAATAATGTAGGCCACAACTTAACATTTTCAATTTATTTTTGCAGTATTCTCATTTACTGATTAATTTTATTTCGGGTTTTCATCAGCTTTTATTTGTAAAAATAAACAAAAATGAACAAATTATGTACATATGATGAAAGCACAGATGGCAAAGTGATAAAGGATGAAACATTAGGGAGAGAAATTTACGTTTCTTTTAATAGAGCTTCCAGAGCTTACATCACTTCTCCTCCCTGTTTATTCTGCACTAAAGTGACAATTTGTGGATTTAATGAGATTTGTGTTTTGCTTTATAAAGACAAATTCATTCTTATTAATATTAAACATCCAGAAACTCTACATGTTTGTTTTGCAGAACATTTGTGTAAACAAGCAACCTGCTTGCTTTATGCTTTAGAAGAAAACCAATTAGATTTTCGCACAGTGTTATGCTCAATGTGATAAAGCTCAATGTGGGAAAGAGAATTTAAACAGAAACTCCTGCTCCTCCTGCTCCTCATAGATATTTGTCTTTAATTTTCAGGATCAGGCGTATGTTTGGAAGGAGATGGAGGAAAAAGGCCTGAAAATAAAAATGATTTGGCTCCTTTACATCACTTCTGTTTTATATTGTCAAATTTATTGGACAATAAGGCTTTTAGAGAAACCATGTCCTCCAAAGAAGATATTAAGGAACAATTTATTGAGCAAAACAACAAGTTTTTACAGGTACAACGAAGTAAAACCTATTTTCCCTCACATAAAATTTGAACACTTTATACCTCTGTCTCAAAATGGATTACATGAAAATGTTCCAACATTTCCAGCCTTATATTGTGAGAAACCAAAGTTATGATTAAAAAATAATTACTAGCAACCAGCCATTAAGTCTAAATTTAAATGTGAATTGTGTGAAAAAACATAGAGGATTTTTTTATCAGACTAAGGTAAATATGTGGCTTATAATGCTTTTTATAGACATTAGCCTAACCTAGTTAGCATGGGGATTGGAAATTACAGGTAAGCTATCTAAAAAATTAAAAAAATTACAACCATCAGCTATCATAGCTATCTATGTCAAACCTAACAAAGTCTTGGCAATTTATGGCCAAATATTTATTTATTTTGGGAAATAAACTCTGATTATATTCAGTGCACTCACACATGATTTCAAACCCCTGCTGTGTTTTATATAAGCTGAGCACAGACTGAAAACAGACAAAGCTAGATTTTGTTCATGTTTTACAACTTTCTGCCTGGATAAGCCTCAAAAAAGATTTGAGCATTTTGAAACTTTTGAAAAAAAAGTAATTAAACAGTTTCTCATTGTCAATTTAATTTTATCCATTTTATCCACTATGTAGCTATCGCAAGGAAGTTATAAAACTACAGCAGACTTCACAGTCACCACAGCTGCACCATAAATAGCTGGAAATTGACCTAATGGGTTTCAGTTTCAACTTATGATATTTGTGTTATCTTGATCTTTACCAAGATTGCAAAAATAAAAAGGCTTTTCATAATCCCACATAGCAATATTGACATTTTGGGTGATTTCTAGAACTCTTATCTATTTTAATCAGTAGAAAAATAATCAAGACATGGACAACATTTAGTAAACAAGCATTCTCCCTTTGTTTATTTAAAGACAGGAAGTTAAGTTAATTGCATTTTTTATATTAACAAGCAGAAGATTTATGGCCATACTTCTAATTTTTGGACTTAAATTAAATGACAGTTGAATCTGAAAACAATTAAAGTGGAAAATGAAAACATTAATAATAAAAAGTGTCCCTTCAGCACTCTTTAGCTTAATGTTCCTGCAGAAAAGGAGGAGGGGGAATCTCAATGGTTGAACAATCTATTCAAGTGTTATGATTTCAGCTTAATCACCAATCCCAAAGTGAGAACTTAATGATTAAAAATTCAACAATTAACTGCTGATTGGGACAAAGTGTGGCACTCTGAGGCACTTTTCCTCGGAATAGCTCATTTGTTTCCGAGAGCCACTCTTGGATGTCATAAAAGAACCAGAGGGAGCAGCAGGGAGACTCTGCTTGTTTGGTAGAAAGAGCTGACAACAGAAGAAATCTTTCATTTCTTTTGGGCTGTTTTAACAAATTATAATGGTGTGTTTTTGATTAATAAGTTAGGAAGCCTTGGGGAATACCCACCAGCGAAAACGTGAACCGGATCTGCCCAAATCCATGAAGTCATTCAGAAATCCTAGTCTCTTTGATAAATGTCCATGTTTTTCCTCCAGTGCTGATTAGAGCAACACACACATGTCAGCGATCACTGGGGAGTTATGTAACAAAAAAAATGTTTATTTTGGCTTTTCCTTTGGAAGGAAATGGATCAAACGGGGTGCCAAGCTGAGCTCTTTTCTTTTTTTTTACACTTGGCTTAAAGAGATTACAAATTCCCAGATCATTTTCCAAACAGCTTCTCAGTCCCCATTAATTTCCATAACTTTTCCCTGTGCACATGTACACACTGTTGGATTGCCTCCTCATTCACATACAAGAATTACAGGGTCTAATGGGGCCTCTGGATTTTGCAGGACTGTTCCCAAAACTCTGACGAAGACCAAGGCGACAGCTGAGGTGAAAGGTCGGCAGGTGTTCGGGGTTCCTCTGCTCGTCAGTGTCCAGCAGACAGGAGAACCACTTCCTCCCTGCATCCTCAGAGCACTGGTCTACCTGAGGACCAAGTGTTTGGACCAGGTAAACGCTGAAGACGAGTTTAGGTCACCAGTATACAGTTTCAACAAGGCTTTGAGTTATATTGTTTTAGCAAAACATCTTCAATTATTTTCCCACTGCTTTGTCAGAACAAAGAATGGAGAACTGGGCCAAATTCAGTGATGGGCACCACTAACCTCAAAGCACAAATCATAAAACTCAGTTTGGCTGAAGCAACACATGGTGTGAAAGCAATTCAATTCAAATGACATCTAATGAGAGACTACAACCCTTGAGCATCAGTTTAATTCAGTCACACACATTTCATAATTTTTTAGATATTTATGTGTATGACTTGTTCTCTATTGTTTGTTTGTTTTTTGTTCCTGTATGTTTCTTGAAATTATCAACAAATTTAGTAATTGGTTAATTACCTCAAAAAGGCCAATTACTAAAAGAAGAGGACTTACAATGTACAAAAAACGTTTACATTATTTATTTAAGATAAAACAAAAACCTTTATAAGTAAATATGCTGCTTCAAAATGAGAGCATCAATATAAACATCTAACAACTTTATTTAACATTAGATAACCGAAACTTCAACATGGATGTCAAACTTTATTCAATGAAAGTTTGCAAAACAGCAAAGTAATTAACTCTTTAGAATTCAGAAGCTAAGTATGCTAAATGTGTTCAAAGTTATCAAAACCACAAAATGGAAAAATTTGTGAATTAATGGAAGTGTGCAAATGAAAACAGTAAGATTCTTGTTGTTTTCCCAATGTTTTGTTTCTGTCAGTTGGGTCTTTTCCGGAAGCCTGGAGTGAAATCTCGTATCCAGTTCCTGCGTGAAATGATTGAGTCGGATCCAGACGGATTTTCGTTCGAGGGTCAGTCAGCCTTCGACGTTGCCGACATGGTGAAGCAGTACTTCAGAGACCTACCTGAACCCATATTCACCAGCAAACTCTGTGAAACCTTCCTCCACATTTACCAATGTGAGCAGAAAAGTTTTTAACTAGACTTTTTTGTTTATTTTGGATATTGTTTAGCATGAGAACCAAATGTTTTACTTATGTAGATCGCAAGAGAACAAGATCCAGTTTTTGAAACACAGGTGAAATGCTGTAAAGCAGGATTAAATGTAGAGAGTATTGTCTGTTTGTAAAATAAGTAGGGACTGTTGATTTCAGTATGTAATACACATTAAATCCCAATTTAGGTGTGTTATTTCTGTGGTTTTTGTCTTTGTCAGGTCTCCCTTGTAAATGTGATTTCTGATTTCAATGGGATTTTCTGGTTAACTGAAGATATAATATCAGCATGCAAATTAGCTGACTTTGCCTGTACTTGGCATAACTCTGATCACAGAGGGCAACATTGGTGCTTTCAGTATGATATGTGAACTATATGCTTCAATCTCTATACGGGTATCTGCAGCAGCTTATTCCAATAGTCCAGTGGGTTGTCAATATATTTCCAAATACTTTCTGCTTCCTCCAAAAAGGTGATGCTGAACAGCGAACAACTTTTATAAAGCAGCAGGCTTCTATAACAAGCTCTGCTCTTACATTTGCTTTAATCTGCTAAATCAATAAAAATATACAATATTAGAAATTTCTCGAGTAAAGTTATTGTCAGAATAAGGCGTTCATTGACAGCACTGTGCAGCCAATGGTGGTAGTTTTGGTCCGATATCCATCCAAAAATGATGGCAGTATTGGAATATATCTAAACTGGATTGGATCTTATGTTTTGCCTTACATCCAATAGAAAACAGCTTTTCAGAAAGGTTTTGTTGAACCAGCTTGTTTTTTCTTTGAAAACTATAAAGTTGTAGCACATCTAATAGGTTGATAAAGATGGAGACTGTTTACTTTTAATTTGAGTAAAATTATTATGCAACTATTTTTAATTTATCTTTTATTTGCAATACTCGTTAATTTTCTTTAGTTTCATAGTAATTTATTCAGTGATCTTTAATGAAAAACAGACGTTGGGCAACCAAATCTGCTTATTTTAAAATGTATTCAACTATTGAAGTGTTTTCCCAAATCCTGTTCTTGATAGAACAAATTTGTTTCTACTTTTATCAATAAATCCCCAAAAAATCTTGAGGACTCAATGACTTGCTTTTAAAAAGCAAACAGCCTGATTAGATAAAGGTTAAAGGTTTGGCTACATATGCCTTTCTTGCAAAAATCTATTAACTATTTGGTTATTAAATTTGCATGTGTAGTTTAAAATAAAATCAAAATATTATATATGATGTGGCCCATGTGTCAAACAAATTGGACAAAGTAACTTTGTACATGTACAAACTGAAGCTGCTTTTCTTCCAGACTTTCCGAAGGACCAGCAGCTGGTTGCAGCTCAGGCGGCCATATTGCTCCTTCCTGATGAGAACAGGGAGGCTCTGCGGACGCTGCTGTTCTTCCTGCGAGACGTCGCAGCCTGTGTTGACGAGAATCAAATGACCCCCACCAATGTGGCTGTCTGCCTGGCACCGTCTCTCTTTCACCTCAACACCATAAAGAGGGACTCCAACACAGCCAGGTGAGCAAAGTCCACAGCTGCTGGGTTTAAAGAACAGAACACCGGCTCTACTGTTAATCTGGTGCACAGCGCAAACTTTAAATTTTTTAAAACACAGCCAGGTTGTGTTAACTTCTCCTTCCACCTCTCTTAACAGAGAACATCTGGTTACATTTCAAAATAAGAGCATCAACATAAATGTTGTAACAGATAATGGTAGTGCTTTTTTAGAGATATTTACAAGTAAATAGGGCTAAATGTTTATAATATATAAAATAATATATAAATAGTTTTGGTTCCTGAAATGATGTGAAACTGACATAAGTAATTAAAAATGGATGATGGAGTATTAGGGACATGCTAAGAAATAAAAAAAAATAAACACAATTACAAGAATAGCAATAATATTACTACTTTGTTCTTGTAATTTGTTCTAATAATTTTATAAATTTATTCTCATAATTTTATTTTTTTAAATTCTTTTTCTTAGTATGGGCCTAATATAATAATTTAAATATTTTAAAAACTACGTAATTCATAAAATAATGTTATTTAAACAGGCCTAGAGATAAAGAAATTGCACTCTTAACATTTTTTCCCAACTTCTTAACAGTCACTGCAGGGGATTTTTGTAAATTTCTGAAATATTTCTGCTGCTGGAAGTAGACAATCATTGCTTACTCTTTAGAATCTTTGAGTCTGCAGGGAGCCCCTCTTGGGTGTGGGGGATCTGACCCACATTGTCCTGTTACATAAGTCCCTACAATTATATAGTAGCTCTGCTGTTTGCTGTTGCTTCAGTTTTGTCTTAACATTCAACAGAAGATGGGAGGAACTTTTTTCTAATGACTTAGGTCAATAAAATGTTAATTTTTCACCTTAAGTTCATTATTATCCACCTGTGATATGAATTTGAAACAAATGTTAAATTACAAATCGGTGAGTTACTAATTAACCAATTAATTCTACCCAAAGGAAAAAGTATTTTTGTTCTTTAGGCCTCACATCCTGTTTGGATCTTTGCTTTTTCACTGTTTAAAGTGCTTATATTAACCATTAGCTCTTATTTAGTGACGTAAACCAGATTTTCTGCTTCTGTTGCGTCACAAAGAGGTTCTGTTTCTGAGCGGCTCCACTCCCATGGACAGTATCAAATCTGGACCAGCTCTAACACTGACCTCAGTGCTTCAAATAAAAAGTTGTTGGCTCAGATCACACTGAGAGAGAAAATTATATAACCTTCACAAATTTCCATCTGGATATAAGAGGAAATTGTCATTGTCTTTGAGTTACAGTGGGAATGATAGAAAACAGAGCGCTAACAACAGGGAAGTGCAGATATCGAGTTAGATTTATTGGTGGTGAGTAGGTTAGCAGTTTCCTAGTGTTTAAATATTGATGTCTGTTTTGATTTCCCTGAAAAACAAGCTGTAAACTAGCGTTTCTCAAAGGGGGTGGTACCGCCCCCTGAGGGGCGTTCAAAGGACGGTAGGGGACCCTGCTGGAAATTTTTTACAAAATGGGGGCATTTGCTCGAAGGTAAACTTTACACCTTAAGTGCACAACAATACCAGTTTCGAGTTTGTGTTAGCTTATTGGCGCAGCTCCAGGCTCCTGCTCCTGGAAGCTTCACCCATAAGTTCAGTGTCACACTGGCTGATGACAGTCCTGTCATCACTTGTCAGGTCATGTGCCTGATTTTCAAATACTTTATGTTTTATTGAGGATTTTTGTACATATGTTTTGGCAGTGCTGTGATTATGTCAAAGCAGCAACTTATATTGAAGTGTTTTAATGTCCGTCTGATTGCTGCAGGCCTCCATGGAATGACAACAGAATATCACTCTTATAAACATGTAAAAACTAAAATTACGATATCCTCACTGTGTATCCCCCAGACAAATTAATCAATTTAAATAAAGAAATCCCTCCACGCTCTTTGTTAATTTTTATACTGCTCTTCAGCAGTGTAAATGCTCAGGTATGCAGTGTCAGGGGGACCTCTGGGCTGGGTGGTCTAGGGGGGGCTCAGATGGGAGGCAGAATATGACTTCAGGGATTAAACCCTTTATAAGGGCAGGAAAAGGTGAGCCCTCTCCTGTTGAGTATGATATACATGTAAGTTTACATAGCATGGTGCATATTATATATGATGTGGCCAATGTGTCAAACAAATTGGACAAAGTAACTTTGTACATGTACAAACTGAAGCTGCTTTTCTTCCAGACTTTCCAAAGGACCAGCTGCTGGTTGCAGCTCAGGTGGCCATATTGCTAGATTATATAGTAGGTTGCCCCAGTCATTGTTGACTCATGGTTGCAAAACAACTATACAAGACCGACTAATTTTAGTGACATAGTGGATGTAAAATATTGAATAAAATGTTGTGCTACATGACTGGCTTTATTTACATTTAACATACAAAATTACAAGTTGATCATCCATATTGTCTCCAAGTGTATTCTGGGTAAAGCTTGTCACCAGCCGTCTACCATCGTCATCATCAGTCACTTGGCAACAGATGGCAAACTATCTAGAGCATTTTCAATCTATACTGAGATTTAACAGTCTCTTTCATTCCATAAGTGCCTCCTGAATCTAATTTTTTCATACCTAAATTTACTTCCATTTGAAATGCAATATTCAAATGAATAATTTCTAATTAATGAAATATCAGATTTACAGAAACAAACAAGTAATTTTGTAAAAGTCATGATAAATTAAGATGTTGAAACAATAAAGGAGCTGTTGAATCTCCTTTATTAGTTTCAACAGCTTCAAGGTCGAGTTGGTTCATTTTTGTCAATAAAATATGTGCTTTTAAACTTGAACATTAAAAATGTATTGCAACCTAATGAGTTCTTTTGAAATTAAAAGGTTTGTTAAATTTTCTTTCTTTTTATGTAACACTTTGAATTGTATAAGCACTGCAGAATAAATATAGCGAACAGAATTTGTTTCCCTTTCCACCTTCATCCTTCTCGGGATGTCTGACTTCCTCTTCACCCTTTAGTCACCTCCCTTTTCCAGCTCTGCAGTTTCCTTCCTGGTTTTTCAACTCTGCCTTTTCCTCTCTTTCCATTTTGTGCCTCACCAATTTAACCAGCAGCTGCCTCCCAGCTGGTTTAGTGCAGCTGCAATTTGTCAGGATGAAACGCTGATAAACCAACAAAAACCAAACAGAAGTTTCTTCACATAAACCAGATTCAACAGGAAGTACAAATTTAAATCCTGGTTCTGGTTGAAATGCTAAGGTTCATACACGTTTCTCACAGCACTTTCAATGTAAGTTTTCAAACTTTGATCCAGAACCACATTAAACAGCAAGGTTCTGTATTGTTGCTGTAGATCGGGTCACAGGAAGTACAGTCTGGGTCGACCGGACCAGCGCGACCTCAGTGAGAACCTTGCTGCCACTCAGGGACTATCCATCATGATAACAGAGGCACACAGACTTTTCCAGGTACCCTTCAGCCCCTACAAGAGAAATTCAATTTCAATTTTATTTCAACATGTTTCTGAATAAACTAAATGCATTGTGTAGCTTCCGGAGTTTTGGCCTGGACAGAGTTTAATAGAGGATTGGTCTGAAGGAGGCGATGAGGATCTGGAGGAGAGAAGAAACCGTCTGCAGCAGAGAACGCAGCAGCTGCTGAGCGACGCTCAGGAGAAGAGCGGAGGCTGGGAGGACTATCCCGCCCTGCAGGACGTGGAGCTGGCCTACAAGAAGGTAACCATACAGGAGGAGGCCATAGCAATACAAGGACAAAGGCTCCTCAGACTAGTGGCAGCACCAATTATCAAACACATTGCGAAACTTCGAGTTGACAACACTCCTGAGGAGAGAGAGTGGGACATAATTTTTTCGTCATATTTTTCAAATATGCTTTTACAGATTTATTAAAACTTTCATGTCATGTCACGACGGATAATCTGTGAAAAGATCAAGTTTTTTCAGGGTTTCTATACTCCAGTTAACGATTAATCAATTAGTAAATTAGTTGACAATTATTTGAATAATCCATTAATTATGATTAATCATTTCATCCCTGAATAATAAATTTTATTTAAAGCATCTTTCAGAACACTTGACTTGGTACAAAGAAGATCAAAACAACATAAACAAACAAAAATAAATACAAAAATCAAATATTATGAGAATATTCAAATTTGAAAAATGACTTTTGAGACAGTTTATTTAGGTCATGTTTTAAATCCCTTAAGTTCCAATTGTATTTTAAAGAGACAGAGGCCCAGTTTCGTGATTATGTGACGTTAAATTACAAAATCGCATTCCTTTTAAGTCATATTTAATATGTGCAGCAAATTTATAACTGAAGGCTATTGCTTGATTATACTATAAAATAGCACTTCGTGCCTGAGAAATGTATGACACTGCCCCTTCAATATATTGTCTCAAAGTTGATTTATGGTCAGTAAATGCATAAATTCCCTAAAAATCTTTCTGTCACTCATTTAATTGTAACATCATATATTTTTGTTATGTCTCTAATAAATCATTTTTAATTTCCAAACACCATTTCCAAACACCATAAATGTATCAGGTTTTTTTGTGCATATGTTTATCAAGTGATAGTGTTGACATGGCGATGACTCCTGCTCTGTGTTGGTCCTCAGATGAGTGACGGCTGCCCACTGTGGACGTGGCGAGGCTCCGTGGAAGTGGCCGCTCCGCAGCAGGAGCTGCTGCAGCGGCTGCTGCGGGAGCAGCCGCTGTGGGAGGCAAACCTGCGCCGGGCCGCCGTCATCCGCGCTCTTTCCAAGGACGCCGAGGTGTACCGCTACATGCTGCAGGGCCGAGGCCACGCACTGGGCTCGCAGCCCCCGCAGGAGACCCTGCTGCTCAGGTAATGAGGCAAACCAGCTTCGCGGAGCGGCGAGGACGGACGAGTCACCGCACCCTCGAAGCTTCGGTTTGAGTGAAATGAAACAGAAAGTTTTTCTTTCAGAAGGTTGATGAAAGTTTAAACACAGCCTGGAGTCAGAGGAGACATGAAGGCGTTTGTAGTCGGACAACATCGCTGAACGCCGCTTCCTGTCCCTGTCTTCATGACAGCTTACATAAACTTTAAATTACTCCACCAGAGGAAAATGGAAAATCACAATAGTCGTGTTGAGCAAATGTCATTGGGGGAAAAAAATAAACACCTAAAAAACAAACAAACAAACACCTAACAATTTATTGCAGGCCATTTTAACACAAGATCAGCTTCACCACACTTAACATTCCAGATATCTTAAACTGGTTTAAGAACAATTAGTTACATATTTCTAATTATGGTTTAACATATGTAAATGATGTCAGATTTTATGGCAGTCCATTTTAACATATAATTGGTTTGTCTGACTGTCTGTAAGACATAGTATTAAGGTCATTTATTAGTTAATATAACTGACGGTCAGTTAATATAAAAATCCTAAAGTCACAATATTTCAAGAATTAAGTCATAATATCAACTCATTCATAATATGACTATGAATATGACTATCCTTGTAATTTTAGTTTAGTTTTTCTTCGTATTGCCGTGACATTTTGAAATACTATAATTTCAATAACAAATAAAGAAAAAATTAACAATTTTGAGGATTTACCTTTTCAAAGTCATTTTCATGTGTGTTTATCAGAAAAAAATAAATGTGAATTTCTTTGCAGATTTCCAAAGCGGTCTTCAAGTTCACAAAGTCTTGTGTAAAATAAAAAAATAACAAAGATCTTCATCTTTCACATTTAAAATTTAAAAAATCCCCTTGAACAGGGGTATCACACTCCTTTTCATTTTTGTATTGATAAAACTACCCATTAACAAACTTAATAAAAAGCTTTATCTTCATTCGATTAGTACATCTCACCGTTAATTAATTTTCAACATCTTGTCACATTTTGATGTAATTTGATTGGATTGATAAAATCATATTTATTTTGAAAGCTCTATTTATAAGATGTACAGTTGGACAACATGACTGAAAGACTTATCACAATATAGTTACATATCACATTATACATATGTAGTGATACATACCAGTTATTGATAATAATTTAATATATTTGTTTTAAATATCTAAAATACTCCTAAAACAGTGGTGTGACTATTCCTGTTTTATCCACAATTTTCTCTCCACTATGTTTTTTTTAAGCAAACATTAAACTGCTGCTGCACAAGTTGTGCAACATGTTATTGCTAGATAACCAAAGAGTTAGTAAATTAGTTGATGCTTCTAACCTTACTTAGCTCACAGTGAGACGTTAATCAGCTAAATCTTTTCCTTTGCCTACATATAGTTAATATCTAGGCAGAGAAGTGACAACTCCCATAAACTCTAGATTGAACATTCTGAATCATAATCTTCTTCTGATCAGAACCTGGCAAGCAGATCCGTCCTGTGGGCCTGTGTACCTGTCCTCCATGTCAACTGAGGTTCCTGAGGTCCAGGCAGATGGAGTCAGGGTCCAGGTCCACTGCTGCCTTTACCTGCTGGAGCCCACAGGGGCCATCAGAACCCGACTGACTCACCTCTGTCGCACTGACACCAGGTAACTGCAAGCAGTCACTGGAGGCATGAGACCAGAAGTAATGGGGGGAAAATAGTTGCTGGATTTTATGTGACATGATGTGTTGAATACAGATTTTTACATAAATGACATAAGATGTGTTATTATGACAGGCCTGATTTTGTTATTGTGATGCATTATAGTCTGCAACAAATGTTGCAACTTTGGTTCTCAATTGAACTGAGAAAAAAGGAACCTATGTTTCCATAAAGGATCTCCCAGATTATGTTGGGGCTTTTTTTGGAGAATGTTCTTTGTGAAAGGTTTTATTTTTAGGTGCTGATTCTGAACACTAGATCTATAGAAGCTCTGTGTTCTTGCTGTGAAAGACTCCAGAGGGAATTCAGAACTTGTCTTTTGTTTCAGGGGACGGTCTCCGGACTGGCACAAGAAGGTCAGCGGACACCTTCTGGTCTCGGGTTTGTTGGCGGTCAGAGACTCCTTCAGAACCGACTACAAGGAAACTAAAATATGAGTCTGTCGCATTTTCGTCTTCTACGCATCCAAGTGCCTCCAGTTTCAGAACATGGAGTAACAAAGTTCCCCTGAAATGTTTTGGAGGTTGCTGAAATCACTTCCTGGAGGCAAAGGAAGAAGCAGGGGAAATACCTCACCTGCCTGGACAAAGACAAGAAATGAGGACAAATAACTGCAGGAAACATACATTTAATCCCCCAGATGTTTGGCTTCAGGGGAATCAAACCAACAATCGCAACAAACATCAGAGCTAAGAGACTCAAAAGAAAGAAAAACGGCAGTGTCGATCACCTGTGAAGAAAAAGACCTGAGTGTTTGGTGTATCTGGTGTGAAACAAACAAGATCCAGGCAGACTAATTATTTAAAATTTTGTTTGTGAGTAATGATGGGATAGAGAAGGGAAATAAATCACTCTGTGACATACTTAAGCATCTGCAGTGGTGATTCAGGACTAAAACAAAGATCCTGGATCAGGTTTCCCTCTTGGACCTTAACGCTTAGCTAAGGCTATGTTCACATAGCAGGTGATGCAACCCACACCCAACATTTTCACCAAAAAAAACCCTGATTTGTGCTATTTCCATAACTATATCAGACATATATCTGATTGTTTTTTGATCTGCAGTCTGAATGGTCACAAGTTACAATTCTACATGTAAACAAAGGTGGAAAACTAAAATGATGAACTTATAGCTGTCCCAGTCAGACCAGCCTCTGTCACATCCAAACACATGAGGATTAGTCAATGAATTGCCTAATGTACAGATTTTTTTTTAATTGTATATTTCTGAAAGAACACTTAGCGCAGTAAATAAGTCAAAACTGATCAAAAAAATGTTTTGCATTTAAGATAAGAAAGAGCAACTTTTATCTGTAAACATGTTTTTTTTCCCAGAACGTAAGTGGCCTAGCTGTAGCTTCACCTTGTTTAAATTCTGTAAAAAAAAAAACGATAAAAAAAAAAAAAAACTTCTATAAAGCACATTTTGTTGTCTGATTATTGATGGGTTATAGTCAACAGATCCAATCACTGTGATCTGATCACTGCTAATAGTTTTTCTGTAATGAAAAAGGAATTGACTACTTTCTGTAGTCAATTTCTGTATTGACTACAGAAAAAAAACTGTAGTGAATAAACTTTAAAATCAATCAATAAAAGATCTATTATTACTTCCATAAACAGTGTCACATTCTACACACCTGGTTCAGCTAGAAGTCTGATTGACATTGTAAAAATCTAAACTAAGCATCAAGTCCTGTTGTGTGGACGCAGCCTTAATTTAAACTGGATGTTTGGACCAGACTGGGTGTGTTATGGTGTCTTGGAGTTGATGTATTGATTACAGATTTTTTGTTCAGGCAAAGCTAAATATCTAGAAACATTTTGTTACTCTATGTGAGTGATGGACAGTTTCTGCATCTCTTTCTTCTTGCCAAGTTGTGCCTGAACCATTTTTTTTAAAATTTGTTTATTGTTTTTTTAACTATATGTAAACACCAACACAAGTAAACAAGAACAACCCATCCCGAACAAACATGGAGCACAGCAGTGTCAACATAAAATAAAAAAATAAAAGAAATAATTAATTAATCTAAAAAAAATTATAATAACAATAATAATAAAAAATAAATAAACTACAACAAAAAAAGACATACATACAGCCTACATACACAAAGTACAGGCAGACATTCCCAGGCAAAGATTAAAATAGTCAAAAACTCTCAGGTCAAGTGAGTGATATAGTAAATGTAAAGAAATAAAAAATTTATTAATTAATAAAATAAGTAAAGATTACAGTCTCTGTAAGAAAGATTGCATTTTATTTTTGCATTGCATTTTATTCTATCTCTGATTATTTAACTTAAATCCAGATGTTTTTATTTAAACCTCCAGGAAAATAAGAGGTCTAACTTCATCAGTGCCAAACAGCTAATTAAAATGTTTAATTCTCTCTGAGACCTGCATCTTGTTTTGTTTTGTTTCTTTGTTTTTTTTCTCCCCTCTGAGACCGGATGTGGTGCCAAACAGATTACTGACGGTAATTTCAGAGGAAGCCGAAGGAAAACAGCAGGAGGATTGAAGAGGAGCTGCATCGCTGAAGAGAAGGAGATTAATACGTCTGGCAGAGCACAGACGTCTTCACGATGCTCCTACTCTACACCCACTTCTGTCGTTTACATAAAACATATTTACATTTTACATTTATCTGCAAGAGAAACCATAATCGCTTAGAGTAAGATGAAAGGGAAGAAGCCGGTAAGAAGGTCCTGGTGGTGATGGCTGTTCCAAACAGTAAGGAGGGGAGATGATTCAGGCTAATTCCAGTAAAAGACTGCGGGTGTTTAATTTCTGAGATATGCTGCTGCATCTGAGTTTAAGAACCATGAGACCTGAAGCTGAACTGAGGTGAAGCATCAGCAGCCGATGAAAAAGGTTTTGTTTCAGCTGTGAGAAAGTTACAGAACATTTTTAATACTTTAAACAGATATTGTCCAAATAAAACTGAATCTAGCCTTCAGCCACTCTTGAAGGCTGAAAACCAACCACCTGAATAAAATAGAATCGGCTTAGAGCACACACACTTCTGTCGTTTACATAAAACATACATAATATCAGAATAAAGGGGTCTGAATATAAAATCTGTAAGATTCCTAAAATAATGGCCACTTTTGGCTTTTTTTTTTTCTTGCCAAAAGTGTTTTCTCTCTCCCTCCCCTAAAACGTCTCTTGCTAATAAAAAAAAAGTTTTTTTTGTTTTTTGTTGTGCAATCTTTGTCAGAATAAGTCCCTTTTTATTTCAAAACAAAAAACAAATATCACTTAGGCCGTTATTTTAGGGAGGTGACAAATTATTTGCATAATTTTTCAAATTTAAAAAATTTTCAAAAAATATATATTAACTTTATACTGTATAATTCTGTCCTACTTTGTGTTGGGTGTAACTTGACAGACAGTAAAAATCTTCAGTGAACCTAAAACTACTGCAAAATGTGTAAAATGTTGACATTTGTTGTGAAATGCACTTAGAATCACACTCTACATGACGTCGCCCCCTTCTGGCCATCAGATAAAATATTTCCTTAAGGCTCAACATAAAGCTGCTTTGATATTTGTACAAGCTGCTTGACCTTTAAGGAAACTTGTTCATATAAATTCAATCCATTTATGAGTGAATATTTGTGCACGAGCAGGAGGTCCCAGAAAGCTGCATCCTCCTCATCTCAGCCAACATCCACTCAGTTTCTGCCTCCACATGAGGTAACAAAGAGCCACTGACATCTTCCTCCTGAAACATCAAACTGCAGCACAAAAAGTCAAGTTTATTTGTATAGAACATAAAAACATTACATCACGATGGGAAAATGAAGAGAAGTAGTGAAAAGTTGGAATCCAGACTAGAATGTTACAGTTATTAATCAATCCAAAGCAACTCTAAAAAGGTGGTTTTAAGACTTAATTTAAGGGAAATTGATGTTTCAGCTGTTTTCTGGAAGTTTGTTCCAGATTTGTGGTGCACAAAAGCTTCTTCATGTTTGGTTCTGGTTTCTGGGGAGGAAGAGTAGAACAGAAGACCAGAGAGGTCTGGAAGGTTGATACCAGAGTAGATTTTTTATGTAATTTTGTGCTAAACCATTCAGTGATTCATAAACTTGAGGTATTTTAACATCTATGCTGAGCTCCAGGGAGCCAGTGGAAGGTGATGTACTCCATCATCCTGGTTTTAGTGAGAACCCGAGCAGAAGCTCGGGTTTTATGCAGACTTGTGAAGACACTGCTGCATTTCCATTGAACATACAGTATAATTGCATATCTGTAGTGTTTCTCTGTGCGCAGAACTTTGTAAATGTTCTGTAAAAAGAGTTTCCCAGATGCAATGTTTCCACCAAATAAGTGAAAATCACACTCGGCACCACAATCCTCATACTAGTCCCTGTAGTCTTCTTCGTCTTTTTCACCATGTGGTTCTTCTACAGTGCGTATTTAAGCAGATGTCATCAAACACATCGACAAGAAGAGACTGATTAAAAGCCAACATCACTCTTTGAAAGCCCAGTGAATGTTTCATGAAGGTGCTGAAGGTCCTGAGATGAGCTATAAGGTCCTGGGACATATGGTGGCATGGATATTTCATGAGCCTGAAGAACTCTAAACAACAAGGGTGTGACTTCTGAATCATGGCTTCATGCAACTTTAATATGAGTGGAAGTGTAACACTGTCAGGTGGCAGAAGCAGACTGAACAATTAGTGTCTTCCAGGCAGCCTCAGAGTGCCTGTGATTTATAATTGATTTGCTATGGGATTGTCTGCTTCACATTATGAAGTTCTGCTAACAAAGCCTCAGTACTCACAAAAGTCCTGAAGGAGGAAAACTGATTTTTAAAAATCTGAAACACATCCTGAGTCAAACACGAGTTTCTGTACATCAGAGACTGGGATGCAGAGTGGGCTGGGAGATCGGTACTGGAAAAAGCAATTAGCTTAAATGGATGTAAACAATTCATAATAATTCATTCAGGCCCCTCTGTGCAGACCGTCTACACACAAACATTTTCTAATGCTAAAGTTTGTAGATGATGGAAAAAGTAAGTTTTGGAAATAAAGTAAAGAAGACAAAGTAGCAATTACTTTAGACAGATTTTAAAACAAAAGAATGTGATCAACAAATTCTGGGCACTTTATAATTGAGATCAGGGCTGTTGTCAATGATTATTTTAGTAATTCTGTAATTTTATGATGATTAATCAAGTTATTAAATTTTAAAAAGTGTCCCGTTCTTATCAGATAAGCTGGTAAAAGAAATGTATGAAAGACAGAATGCTAATAGAGAACAATTCAGTTAATTTTCAATAAAACGACATGAGTTCACAAAGCAAAACCATTCAAGCATCACTTTTAGTCTCATGTCTGAAGTATGAAATACTTTATTATAAAATATTTCTAATAAATGTTTTTCTAGTCACTCTTTTTTATCAACAAGTACATGTGTTAGCCAAATTGTATTTTCTTGTACATATATGACAGGCCAGATTCTGCTCAAACCTAATTGTATCTGTGATTGTTAGAACAGAAAGCTTTTTGCAAAGTGAATAAAAACACCCCCTCTTGGCGGCCAGGAATTAGCTCCATGCAGGTAGTGGAGGTTTCCTTTGAGGACGGAGCGTTGAGGACCTGCTACTGTGAAACGGCCTGATGCACTGAGCTGCGTTATCTTTTCTATTTAATTTAATGTAATCCAATCGTTCAACACTTTTTATCTCTTTATTGGCAGCACTTCTGTTGCTTGCCTTCTTCCCACATAGCTGCTAATAGCACTTAGCTGTTATCAACATCTTATTAGGAGAAATGAGTGTTGCGCAACATAAATAATCATCCGACTGGAACACAGTTCACTAAACAGTAAAACATAATTTAGATAATTTGGAAGAAGCAGTAGTGGCTGTGGATGATACAGTATCCTACTGGGGAAAGATTGTACTGTTTTTTGAACTGATTAGGGAAACAAATTATATGAATTGGTCACATAGTTTAATCAGTAAGAAAAGAAAGAAGAAAAAACTAACATGTTCCTTCAGAAAGTTAATCTTCCACCTGCACAACTCACATCTTTATCAGTGAAGCAAGTTAGTACCCCCATTTGCATTACTGTATGGAATAAGTTAGTATTCTGATATTGAAGACCAAATTATGAAAAAATAGCCTGAATAGCATCTCTTTCTAGAAGTTGGGCTCCAGATGATTCAGAATTCTCACTTTGGTTGATATCTGACAAATAAAACCAGGAAAAGTTTGGAACATTGTTTTGATGGATATAACACCTCACCTAATGCAAAGGTGGTGTTAAATTAACCTTCTTTAAATCAACACAGAATAAATCAGGTTTGAATCAAATTAGACATCAAACAAGAGTCGATCAAATATTGTTGATAACCCTTTACTGTGGAACCCAACTAGAAGCTAACTTCAGAGCAGAGGTGTAAATTACTTTCTGACCCGTGTAGGTAATGGTGCCTCTGCAGTTACACCAGGGATTGAAACCAAAAATAAAACATGGCAGCTTTGTTTGTTTAGCTCAATGTGGGCAGGAGTTGGTGACCCTTCAGTTTCCCCAGGTGTAAAAGCATTTCCTTTGGGGCTGGATGTAATTATCCAGATGTTAACTCCAGGGGAAAATTGGTACTGAATGAGCCACAGTCTGTGAATTGTTCCTTCTCTTCTCACCTGAGATGAAAGGACGAGTGAGACACTTTTAAAACATTTTTGTACTGATTAGGGAATTTTAAGGAATTAGGGTTATTTTTTTCCTTCTGCAGAAAGTTTCAGATAAACAATAAAAAAAGGGAGAGATTCAGTTCCAGAATGGCTCTTTATTTTAAAAAAGTATCCTTCATATGAGACATTTAATGAACCAAACTTTAAATTTTCCCTATGATTTGACAAATTTTGTCAGAAATGGCAGTCCTGTGTAGTACTGACTGAGAGCTCCTGTAGTTTCAGCTGAAGTGGAAGGAAGACGGGATCACATCCTCTGAACTGGGTTGAGGCCCAGGATGTCGAAGCATTTGGCCATGATGGAAGCAGTGGCTTCACACAGCAGCATCCTCCACATGTTGATCTTATTCACCTCACCTACAGATAGACAAACAAATTAATTATTCAGCTTTTCATTTGATCTGCCATCAAAACTTGACCCATTAAAAAAAAAGGACTCAGTTTGGACCACTCCAGAACTCTGTTTACCGGTAATTTAAATTTAAACTTTAACCCATTTTATGGGTTAAAAAGTAGAACTCATAACAGTTATCATTTGTATTGATATTAGCTTAAACCAAGTCATTTTTTAAACATACTTTCTAACTTTTCCATAATTGTGGGTCTAAACAGTTGAAAATAAAACAAAAACTCAGAGCTAAGAGTTTTACCAAAAGTGTAAAAACACCTTCAGGGAAAAAAATAA